AAAAGGAAAAGGATTATTATTAGTGATAGGATACAACAACCAGAATGAATCCCCTGACATGTCCCAATCTATGCAGCTGCTTATAGACTTTTGGAGCCCTATTACTAAAGTCTCCTTGCTTTAGCCCAGCCCTTCAAATATACAAAGAAAGATGCCTTGAATCTTCTTCCCTAATATATAAAGCACAGGACTTAACAAAAACTATGCGAATTTTTTTAAAAAAAACCCAAATACTGCAATTAAAGAACCCCCTCTGAGATCCTTTGCATGTGGAAGAGTTTAGGAGAATTTCTATTAAGGTCCATCTATAAAAAAGAGTACCTTTGGGGGTGGGAGAAGGGGACAACAAGGGAAGGCAACCCTCTTTTTTCTCTGAACCTAGCTTGTTAGGTCCAGGATACCTTCTTCGGCAGAGCCTCCGTTTTATAGCAAATGCAGGGTTCATTATAGGGAAGATAGTATGAGAGACAGCATTTTGTCCTCCAGTTAGACTGAATATGGAGGACTCTCCATGAGTGGGCGAACTCTTAATTTGGTGGAAATCTGAGTTCAGTAAAAACTATCCTCTTAGAAGAGTGATTCTTGTTTTGTCTGATCATGCAATAGGCTTCATTTCTTGTGTCAGCTGGCTAGTCAGCAAAGCAGAAAACTATTTAGTGGTTGGAGTCATCTTTCTGGTGACTGCAAACTTACACGTCAAAATACTCAGCTTATTTAAAAGAAAACTTAAATTTTTGGATGTGCCTATACTAGTCTGTACTAAGGAAGGAAGGAAGCTTAAATGTTTGGATGTATATTGGGAAAGAAAGAGATGAGATAAACCTATTCAGTTCTCCAGAGCATGGTGCTAACCTGCCAGATGCTCTGGGAACAGGGGATTTGGGTGAAATCAAAATTAAAGCACCCCCTCCCCAACCCTCTCTTAGGATCCTGACCTAGATTAAAACTCCTGGCCTTACTTGGGGAGGTGGCGGGGGAGAGAAAAAGATGTAGTTGCTAACTTCATCTTTAGGAAAACATGAAATCTGCCCCAAGGCAGGAATTTTAGGAGAAGATAAATGTTTTGTTAATTTCTTCAAAATTATTGAAAAAAAACAGTCTTCTAGGCTGGTTTAGGGCAATGCCACATGAGGCTTTTATTGTGTATTTGTCTTAAGTTATTCACAGAGTTTTAAAGGGGAACAAGATAATATCTTCCATTTTCCACATTTTCTCCACATTTTCTTCCATCTTTTTTTCTTACCACAAAGCAACCTTGTTAAGGAAGGAAAAGCCAGATAGATTTATGATCTCTTTTGACTGGTAGTGCCAGGAGCTGCCTGTCTGGAAAACAAGTCTATAGTCTATATGTGGTAGTTTCATTGCATACATCAAGTTATTTGCCATTAACTGAATCATGCTTACTTTTGACCTAAGGTTATTAGGAAAGAGTTATAAGAATCCTGACTATGCACTAGTTAAACGGAACAAGGATCTCCAGAAATCACTATAGCCTACAATATATGAACACAAACAAAAGTATGTTATACTCAAAAGGCAATCCAAAGCAGAAAGGGTGCAATCCAATGGCAATGCCCTTATCTGTCTAAATTTGGAGGATGGTGGTCATCCTATGCACAGGCAAAGATCACCTCTGTGTTGCTCCTGCTCTTGCAAAGTGATCAGACAGCTGATTTCAGCTGTCTAATTTTTGCACTTAAGACGTGGAGGAAAGAGGGCTGGGCTGCCACCAGGATATGTCATGTCTTGATGGTGCCTGCCCTCATCATACAACTCCCTTCTCTGAGGTCACTTTTATGACCTTGAAGAAGCATCTGGCACAGTTCTTTCCATACTAGCTGTGTATGGAGGGTTGGGAATTCCCAGGGTAGATCTCCAGATCCAAGATTGGAGCTGTTTTCCAACCTCAAATTTGGGAACAAGTAATTCCTATGGCCTTCTAGCTGCTGTCTAGGGCCATAGGAGTGCTCTGACCATCTTCATAAAAGAATCCTTTGCTCCCTTTTCAAATGTTTCAACCTGCATATACAGAATGTGGTTTGGGGCAGGCAGCAGCAGGCTGTTTCTCCTGGAATGCACAAGTTCATTGTATTGTTTAAGAAGACAGCCCTGCCATGTGTACCGGAACCCAATACACAGAGAAAAGCAAGGTTATGAGAGGGGCGGAAGAGAGCCCACAGACACTAAAATGTCTGAAAAGGTCTTTCGCGAACTGGTGCATAGGGGATCCTGGGCAAAAGTTAACAAAAACATACTTCTACTAACTGCAAAGGGATGTGGGTGGCGCAGTGGTTTAAACTGCTGTGCTGCTGGGCTGGTTGATCGAAAGTTCACTGGTTCGAATCTGCACAACGGGGTGAGTCCCCGTTGCTCCGTCCCAGCTCCTGCCAACCTTGCAGTTCAAAAGCATGCAAATGCAAGTAGATAAAAAGGTACCACTTTGGTGGGCAGGTAACAGCGTTCCGTGCACCTCGGTGTTTAGTCATGCTGGCCACATGACCATGGAGACTGTCTGCGGACAAACGCTGGCTCCCTCGGCTAGGAAACGGAGATGAGCACTGCCCCCTAGAGTCAGGCATGACTGGACTTCACGTCAAGGGGAAACCTTTACCTTTTTTATTAACTGCAAAAGAGAGAGAGAGAGAACAGTTTTAGTTCAGAAGTACAAAAGAGTGGCAATTCATGAAAAGAGGCATTTGTAGGAGTGAACAGAAGGGCTCATGGATGCTGAGAATGGAAAATTTGCCGCTTTCTGTTAGTGCTGAACCCGGATGCCATAGTGGCTCAATGGCAAGTTCACTTGCCGCTGCTGCCGGGGCTTCTCCCCACCTCCACTCCCAGCTTTTGTATTGCTCAGCTAGACTATGCAAAAGTTCACCTGCTTCCATCAAAGGTGGCAGTGGCCTATTACAGACGAATCAGAGAGCCAGAAAGAGCCAGGACCTCAGACCCACCCCTCTACCTTTGGGTGCCTCTGAGTCCCGTGTCAAGCGGCAGAGACAGGAACAAGGCACAGGGCACTATTTGAACTCCTAAAGCTAAAGTTAGTTGATGAGACAAAACCATCCTTATGTTTTGCTCAGGTTTTTAACTACCTGCTTTCTCACTACTTTCTCAACTACCTGTTGAGGCTTTCTCACCCCAGATCAAGTAAAAGATCACTGACACAGCTCAGGCTTTCTCTAGTGTTCCACACCCGTTTGTCTCTTGTGCTGTTTTGTTTCTGAGGCTGATTGCTGGCAAGCTGGCAACGTACCCACCGTACATCACAATACACTGGTAGCAGCACTTCAGGAAAACTTTGCAGTGGGTGTGTACATCTTTCAAAACTGTGATATATAATGGCCTCAGCCTCTTCACTGTGTGCCTCTCACATGAAGAAGTTTGGGGTGTTTTAAGTTTAGTACTGTATCTCGTATTTTCTTCGGCGTCACTTTCCCTTCTAGTGCGGTGATTTTTTCATGAAACTCTGCTGAGCATGTAAAAGTGTGTGTTGGTACTGCAGATTATACAACAGGAAACCCACCTCCTACAGCCCCTCTACTCCTCACTTCCTGTTTGAATGTAACACATGTGGCAGAGAGCAGGCATTGTTCCAACCAATAACAATGCTGAAACACAGCAATGTAAACAACTGTCAGAACCCTGAAAATTAAAGGGCTTCCACTGTGTTGGTTTGAATCGGAACAGCCGTTCCAGTAAACTTGCCGTACTGTCACTGATGGCAGTAGAAAGTGTGAGCTGTGGAAAATAAATGTATGAGACATTGGATTATTTATTTTAAAATATCATCGGAGAAATGACCTTCTTGATTGTCAAGAATGAGGTAGGAAGCTATTCTGTTTCTTTAAGATTTACACTGTGAATAGCAAAAAGTGAGTTAATGTTCTAAGAGATCAGCAAGTGTGGGTTCCTGAAACATGTGCAAAGTATTTTTATACTGTGATTCCATGGGATTCATACAAGTCAATACAGATCTGATTATTGCTTAGTTCTGGGTAAGCTGACTTTGCGTATGGCTTGGTCTGGAGCCAACTCATTGTAGAGTTTGAACTTAAAAACAAGACTTTTAATATACATTTCTCATGCACTTGTTGCATTGTCTTATCCCCATCTACAGCCTGGCTTGGTGTTCTAGTTTGTGTGTGTGTGTGTGTGTGTGAGAGAGAGAGAGAGAGAGAGAGAGAGAGAGAGAGAGAGAGAGAGAGTATAAGAGATACTATTCAATCTTGATGTTGCTTCATACATTATATTTTTCACTCAGGAACCACATCCTGAGTTCAGAGCATACATACATACATG